GGGGCCGAGCCTGGGCGGCGGCCGGGCGTGAGGGGTCGGGGCGGCGGGGAAGGGCCGGTCCCGGCCGCCCCGGCGGGAGCGGGGTTACGGCCGAGGGAAGCGAGACGCAGGAAAGGGAAGGGCAGTCGCAAGTGCAAAAGTAGAAGTGGGGAAAACATGGGGGAGGTGAAGGGGCAAGGAGAAGGGAAAAAAAAAAAAAAAGACAAAAAGTGAGGGGAAAAAAGGAAGGAGGAAAAAAATGAGGAAAGCACGAGGAAAAAATGGAGAAAAATAGAAAAGCAGACCTAATTATGGCATGGTAATTAAAGTTAAAACTAAATAAAAAGTTTTTAGAAGTTCAGTTGGGAAAGAAAGAGAGAGCCTGAGTGCTAAAAGTGAAGAAAAGGCAAAAAGGGAAGATCGTCTAAAACAATAAATAATAGCAGACATAAATAAAATACCTTAAGATGGATCAAGTAATACATTTCTAAACGTTACCCTGTGATCCTTCCTGCCATGGCGTGCCGCCAGGCGCAGCGTGAGGGCCACGATGCTGTCCCCGAGGCGGGGGAGTGCCAGGCCAGGGGCTGAGGGGCGGGTGACCGTCCCCCCGGGGCAGGGGCTGGGGGGTGCTGCCCGGCCGGGAGGCGGCCAAGGGCGCCCGGTGTCACCGAGGGTCCCTCTGTGCCGCCGCAGCGCTTGCGTTGGGGAGCAGCTGGTAGTGGGCAGCCGGTGTGGGCCCTCGGCCCTCGCCACCGTGGGAGCGTCAGGGACCCCCACAGCCAGGCCTCAAAGCCTGCTCCTCCATCCCCGTTACAGACCTGCCTCTGTGTATCTGCCCATAGGGGCTAACTGGACCTTTGCAAAGCTAAGAGGGAACAGAAGCGGGATGGGCATCCTTGCCATACTTTCCAAGGGTTTTCTGGTAACTAGCAGCTAAAATTGCAGTGGTCTGATCTGTTTCTGACAGGGAAGGGGGAGGAGGGGTTGAGATTGGGAGCAGTTGAAATAACCATTGCTGAGAAAATTATGATGCTGGGTGCAGGAAGTTATAGAAACCGAAAATGAAAACACAAAAATGTGGAGAACCAGTCGGCCTGAAAGAGGAGAAAGAAGGGAAACTGACGGAAACTATGTAAGATAAAATCATGTCTGTTTATAGCTGAGTGTTGGGTGATTCGGTGCTGACCTGGAAAAGCTGTAGAGCTCAAATCCCAGCTGTGCAAGAAAGCACTTGCGAAGTCACAAGAAAAAAATGTTTTGGCTAGAAAAATCTATTTTGATTAGACTTGGAGCAGTAGTCACTCAGGTAAAGATATACTAGATTTTCGTAAAGATGGGAAGTGCAATGTGCAGTCTATTTTATGCGTTTCAAATGTGCCCATCATGTTGGAATCTGGTCACCCGGGGAACGAAGGAGTTGAGGGTGTGCCGGGCTGGGAATTGAGCGGAAAGACAGTGAACAAAACCAGGCATCTGTAAGTGAGCAAATGTTCTCTCCTGCTGGAAACCGCAGAGCAAGACCTGGCTGCCAAGGCAGGAGCTATTTGAAAAATCATAAGTCAGGTTCAGGCAGAGAGGGGTCTGTACCTACAGCAAAGTCAAAGCTGTGCTACTAGGAACCACTTCATTTTCTAGAAGAGCAAAGCTTTAAAGTCTCCATGCAGAGAGTGGGAGGCAGAAATTCCCCACTGGTGAGCCTGATACAAAAGCAAGCTATTGAAACTAAAATTAAGTATGTGGTGGGATGGTGTGTCTCTTTTTAAATAAGACATCATAACAAGAAGCAGTAGGTGTGAACCCTGCACCTCCATGAACCTTTCCAAATTTTCAATGTAATAACTGACTGTCTCAGTTTTGGTATGGAGGGTAGTAAAGAGTTTAACTTTGAAACTAATAGAATGCAGTGCATATTTACTGAACATACACCAGCAACTCTGAAATTAACAGCATCCTATTTACTGAACATGTATCAGCAAATATGTATATTAATTGAGGGGAGTATCTTAAACTATCTTAACATATATAACATATGCTCTCCAATATGCACTTCCATTCTGAGGTCCTTTTTTGTTTCTCTGTTTATAAAATGCCATGCTGGTTAACACAGGATCAGACCCTGATCCTGACTCAAAAATTAAAGAATGCCCAAGGATAGGAAAGGTCGCTGTTTGCACAGGTGCCTCTTAGTTTCGGTTTTGTGTGCATGTGCGTGCCCTGCACTTAAATTCTGTCATACATTAATGTGAGAGGAGATACGCAACGTACAGCCCTGGTGAGTCCACCAAAATACATCCCTTCCCTCTGCCCCCAGCCAGGCAGCAGACACGTAAGAGAACATAGACTCACACCTGTACATCTCTTTGGTTAAAGTGCTTTATGGACAAAACAAGATGTCAGTGGTTTGATTACAGAAGTTTAAAAAATAGGAAGTTATTGAAAATCACATGTAAACAGTAGTTTTGCTGGTTTTTATAGCAAGAGCATAAAAAAAAAAAAAAAAACTAAACACAAATACTTACTTTTTGGTATGTTGTTTCTTTCTTTTCTTTTTTTGTCTTCTACTAGATAAAATAAGTTGTAGTACAATGTTTTGTGGTCTGTGAAAATGAGCAACTAAAAGCTAATATGCAAATTATTGTCGTTAACCCTTCAGTGGGCTTGCACAGTATCTCTGTGGCCAACCAAACATAGTGCACTCTGATGCCATTGCAGTCCCTGGCTAAGGCAAAGGATTGTCAGTCTACTTGGCAGTCTATACAGGGCAAAACCTGATCTCTGTAGGACACACTGACACACAGACCAGTGCTACATGAATTAGAAGGGTCTGGGCACTGGAAAATATCCTTTGAGAATCTCGTATCCCAAGAGCTCAATCAGAAATCCACACAAACTACCCAGAAAAGCCAGCCCCCATGTCCATTACAAGACTACCAGTTGCCACCAGTAACTTCCAGGCTTCCTCATCATAGAGTCAACACATTTCTATTCCCCTGAAGAGCTGGTGCACATCAACATTTATACAACTGGTGTCTCTTTCTGATATTAGTTCTATATAACACTGTTACATGCAGTTGGAGAGTAAAACTTGGAAAGTCATCTTGCTCCTCTCCCCCCCATGGTACAGCATCTATCTTGTCCTCAAAAAGGTGAAAAGTTCCCACACATCAGTACCTCATGGAGCTAGCTTTCAAAGGCAGTATCTCAAACAACCTTTTCTCTGCTGAATTTGCTGATCCTCTGAACTAAGCAATCTCTCCTGTGGGAGACACTTGACCTCCT